GAGATGCAGAAATGTCTCGATACTGGTGGAAATTCCGATCCCCTTTTTACGAAGGGAAACGATTATTGGAGTTTGTAAATCGATAGACAAGAGTGACTTTCTCATAAATAATTGAAATATTCAACCTCTCATGTTATCGTAGGTGTTTTATGGCCCTTAATCCCGGACTATCGAGTTTATCGCCGCGGGACGATTCACTCCAGCAGAGAGAATAATACGAGGCGCCGAAAGTTCACGCCTGGAGTCCACAGTAAAAAATTAACGAACAACATTTTTCCTCCATGGAGATGGTTTCAATTGGGAAAATCCGATGCGTTGGGAAAATTTTCATGTGTGTGTGTGTGTGTGTGTGTGTGACTCTTGATTACATTCCGTTTTTTTTTTAAATTATTTATTGATAATTCTGGTTGGCATTATTCAAATTAATGTAGTCCACTACAAATATGGATAATAAAATTGACACATTGATGCGGAATCAAAGAGAAAAAATGCACAGGTGCAGAATTTTTTACTGCCTTTAATGAATTTTTCTTGTGTTTAATTAAGAACAAGTGGAAAATTGCTCTTGTCTTCATGTGGCACAGTTATTTTTGCTAATAAATTAGTAATATGCTTCAGAATGGTCATTTTGCACATCATTTTCTTCTATGGTATATAACTCATTGTTTATTTTACGTTATTAAATTGAATGAGATTTATTTTTAAACAATTGTGTCGGATTTTCTACTCAGCTGAGTGTTATCATTATCATTGTTCTTATTATCTCTTTCTTTCATACAACCGATTGCCTTTTTTGCGGTCCTATCACTCCCCTCACCCCTTTGTTGCTTCACTGGCTGACATTCTCGTCCTAACTACGTGGCATTTACTTCAGGAGCTATATTTCCTATTCACGCTTCGGTGTTTATATTTTCGTTCAACGGTTTCCTAGTCATTAAAATTGGCTTTCTTATCGGCTCTGCATTCCACAGGTTTGTCGTCTACATAAGCCACGTTTAGGCCGTTGTTGTCGATTATTATTAATATATGATGGAAAGTTCGAAATTTGCAAAAATCATCGTAAAAATAAAATCAACAGATATAGCTATCGTAATTATCGTTCAACTTTGACAGTGTGGCATTGAAACTAACATTTTAAGCTATAATTGAATTCATTTGAAGCATGATATCTCAAGATATTCCTGGAATTCCGATTTTTTTTAATACAAAATTTTTGGAAATTTTTATATAAATAAAAACAACGATTACTGCTATTGCTTTCATCTTCGAACTCGGTCTTAAGGGCATACAAACAAATTTTTAAATCCATCATTCAATGAATTCAGAACATTTTTTTTAGTTATCGTGGGACAACCGATTTTTGGAGTAATTCAAAAAAATTTTAAACTATAAAATTAATTCAATTTTAAATAATCTCGATGGACAGAACTAAACACCACCTGCATTTGAAAAAACAGAAATTGTAGCTGAAAAAGTCAATATGACGATTTAATTGATCTCATTATTCTTGCAACATAATTTATTTGTTTATTACAAAATTTTACTTTAATAACTTGATAACTAGTGGGGTAAAATGGGTCGTCATATTGAGTTTTCCGGCTGGAATTTTCCTGGCCCTACGATGGGGTCATTTTCCACCCCAAATTCCAAGATTTGATTTTTAATGATTCACCTTTTTTCTAAACTTTTTAAAAATGATGGGGCAAAATGGGTGTTTTTGGAATGTAGAGCTCATCTATTGTAATTTTTTGAGAAAAATGAAACTGCAAGATTTTGTAGAAGACCTGAGTTCCATCAGACTACCCCAATTTCCGGAAGTGAAAAATGCATGGAAGACGATGTGAATTATAGAAAAAATGGAGAAATAAATCTGGAACGTCCGGTATGATGGGAGGTCGAGTACTGAAAGGTCTTGAGCCACAAGAACACGAAAACTATTGAAAAGAAGAGAAAATGAAATCTCGAACACGCACCGGAAACCCACACTTCCCCAGCACTCTTTGTGCGAAGGCATCCATCGGTATGTTCTGTGCGTTCAATTCAGGGATTCTCGGCATCCGAAAATACAAAGACGCCACAGAAGGAGAACGGGAGGGGAGAAAGGGGGAGAGGGACTGAAAACGAAAAAAATTAAAAAGCGTTCGAGTGATTTGGGGATGAAGTGGAGATCTCCTTCTCCTCTCTTCCATTTATATTTCGAGTTCCGTTTTTTTCACGTCTGTGGTCACCGCATTGAGGTGCCTTTGAACAATGGGAATGACGGGAATTAAATGTCGTGAATGAAATCCGAGGATTTCAGTTGAAAAAAAAAACGACTGCATGAGAGAAAAAATAAATACCGGGAATAAAGCACCGATGAAATTAAAAATATTGAGTAAAGAATTATTCTATTGGATAATATATTGAACCAAGTGGAATTGCTTTGCTCTGATAGAAAAAATTATTTTTATGGCGATATTTCTTTCTTGCAATAAGTATTATACACTTGAACCAATTTCAAATAAATAAGATCTTACGGTGAATATCAATTATTTCTTCTTCAGATACATTTACTTGAACCAAATAAAACAGTCCATGTCGTCAAGTCACATGTATTCACCACAAAAATGGAAAAGTTCAATTTTTTTAACCTAATATAATCTCCAGTCGAGAAATTTTCTACTTTCATGAACTGATAAAAAATTTATACCTAGGAGATGATTACATTGAGGAATGAATTGAATGTTGTTTTCTCGAATGAAGCCGATGTTTAAATTGAGCTTTCCGTACATCACATTGAACGATATTTGTGATATCCAAGTTTGTGTTGAATTGCCGTAATCTGTGATTCTGTTATTGTAAACTAATGCGATTTTTTCAAGTCAAGAAATATAAACTTCTTTCAACTCAACGACATCTTACTACAATCTCAAAGCCTTTTCCGCGTAACAATATTCATCCTGATTCGACATACGAAATGCTCACTTCAATTATAATTTACTTGGAACAACGTATGATTGAGTTGATTGAGATAACAACGTATTTAGTCATGAGAATAATTTTGATTTTTGAGTAAACCTACGAATTTCTGGAGTTGGCAAACTTTTGGCTAGAGAGAAGTCAAATACTCTAATTATTGCGACAAATAGAGGGAACTTCAATTCTAGAGAAGTTCGATTTCTCCCAATCAAATGTATCACAAGAAGAGATAACTGATGTTCCCTATGAAATCATGTCCATTTGAAAACTAACAACCAAATGATGTATTTTAAATTGAATTCATGATTCATTGAACTCAACATTGCCTCAACCTTGCCTGCTAATATTGTCCCAACGTTAACAGCAAGCATTGCATTACAAAAAATAATTTTTTCCAATCAATTTGCAAATTTAAAAAACAATTATTTCTCTCAAACCTTTCTCGAATTTCCTCATTTTGACATCTCATACGTTAATGGTAGAATAATGTAAATCCACCCAGCTGATTAAATCACCCGCGATAATGACAATTACCACGATAATGCAATTATACCCCGGAATAATACGAGTGAGAAGTAATACCCCGAGTTCCTCTCTCGTCTCCATTATTTCACATTGATCTAGCGTGACAAGAAGATAGGATGACGTTAACGGGTGCGGAAGTAGCGCAACTCTCATCGTAGTATACGTTTATGCTTCCATGGTGTTTCTCAGTGACGTTCATGATAGTGAAGTGTATAACCCATTCCTTTTCGTATAGCTGTGGAATGGAGGACCGGAGAGACAAAGAGTACTGGGCGGGGGGGGGGGGGGGG